GCGACTGTGTAGCTCAGGGGTAAGAGTTTGACGTTCCGACCCGACTGATCGCGATTCGGACCTTGGCAGGGACACAAAAAGTACGCACTGCTGACGGGTCCCAAACAGGACGAAAGAGCTATCCAGTACTCTTTGTTGGTCATAGAGTCTTGGGTAACCGCAGTCACCCACTGGAGCGTGTGGTCTACCTCCACAGATTATATTGGTTGGGGCATGTGTTACGCATGTCACCAGATAGGTTGCCACGACGAGCGGTTTTCCGAGGCAAGTAGTGGGTGGAAAAAAGCCAAGGGTGCTCAAACTAAGACCTGGCACGAGGGTATGAAAACCCTAACCAGGGGACTCGGTCACGCAGGTACCGTTAGGTTCCCTGGCTGGGGACCTCGGGATACCATCGGGTTAAGCAGAGCTGAATGATACCCGGCGCGTCCCCGGGTTGTGGATAGGGGGATACCTTCACCGAAGAAGGCTAGCAGTGAATAAGCTGTGGCGTACAGCAACAAATAAGCAGTCACAAACAAACAGCGGCGACACTACGGGTGCGGTGGGTTTCAGGCTGGTCATCTACCTCCTGTTTAAAAGCCGCACAAACCCAATGACGATGTCATGACAAAGGTCGATGTGATTGGCCTTCTAAAACTAGTCATTGATCCCCTCACTTCCGAGGTGAGACATTACTTCTTGCTGCCTTGCAGTTCGCTTTTGGTTGTGCAAAGGCTAGAGTTGCTCCCTCAAAATGAAAGAACTCCGAGTGACGCTGGGGACGTCTCGTGCCAAACTCCAAGGGAACTTCATGATCATGATCATGGCTTTCTAAGGAGCCAGCCGCAGTAAAGGAAAGTAAGACCTCGGGGTGATTGTGGCCGATGGTTAGAGACACTGAGTGATATGGCTGAGTATCGTGAACAGTGGCGTTCTTGCATCTTCTCAATTTCTTTGCAACATTAGTTCAGCAAAATTCTCCATTTTATATTCGAATCTAGTTTCAACTTTATTGTTGTTCTCCTACTGTTCATCCAAATGGGCAGTCTAAAGACAGCAACCAAAACCGGCGCACGAAAGTGCATGGTTTGTGGATGTTCGAATTGAAAAAAACTGAAATGAAAAATATGACACGAAAACACAACAGAAAGTATGCCAATTGAATAGTTGTTTATTTCATTGGTAATGAAGGATCCTGGATTATTAGAGAATAAGCGTAGTCGTGAAGAGAGCTAAGCGAACTTTTTCGGGAAACCTAGGATGCAGCATACAACTTTAGAATATTTTTCACTGGTATCATCAACGTGAACCACTCAAGTTAAACCCGGAACCTCGCACACGGATAGGAAGCATTCCGCAAAAACTGATCACCAGGTGGTTAGTCCGAGGGTAACGGTCAATGACTGTTTTGTATGAGTTCATACTTTTTTTACCAAACTGTAAATTTTGTTTGACTTGTCGTAGTCTAGATACAAATTTAAGTCAAGCAAATTCGCTTAGAGCAATTATCAGATACCGCTTACTGTACCGTCCGCCATCGTACAAATTTCCGATCACATCAGTGACACAGTTGTCGAGAGAAAACATTCTACGCCATTTCGGATACACAAAAGGAAACCTGCATGTGGGTGCTTGTTCTTTTCAATTGGCACATGCGTTGCGCATATGGTCTTCTGTTTTGTATCAATCAGGATAGAGATGAACCATATATTCTAAAATGATTTGTGCAAAACTGCATGGTGTATCATAGGCAGAGATAGATTGGTTCAAACGTGTACTTGGCAGTCTGAAGTGTTTGCTCCACTATGAGCTCAACGTTCCATACTGAGTTCAACAGTGACAAGCTGTGGGACGACATGTGGAAAACAACAGTGTGGATTTTACAGTTCTTTTACCAAACGATGACTGGCTCCTTGGAGGTGCTGTTTTATATCTCGTTAGACTTCTCAACCGGGACACTTCGATCATAGAACTTTGAAACGGCCAGATTCGCGGGGGATTCTATGGACGAACAGAGAATGAAAAGTCAGAAATTTTCTAATCTCAGATTGCGTATTGTGTCAGATTTCCTCATCAGTAGTTAGACATCTTCGAGGATAGTCATGATCACATGATTCCCAGTAGCATGTGCGTCTTGTTCCTCCTAGATTTTTGTACCTCGTAAAATGCATACAGAGAGGGAATATGAATCTCTCAAACTGAATTTATATACTGCTATTTGACGATAGATAATCACAGATTATATCTCAGAATGAAACGTCTTCACTAATACGCATCCGTTTACTAGAGAACAGTCGTAATAATACCAAGGTGAAACATGTATACACTGGATTGTCAACCTAAGCGCGACTCGCTAATACCGTATAATCCAGAATGAGTACTTTTACTGAGATTCATTTCAGCATTTTGAGATAGACAGACGATACTCTGGATACCGAGACAGCGTGCCATCATGTATAAATCTTTTTATAAATGTTAAACTCTAAAACTTGGATCCGAACGGATTGTGCACTGCAAGCGAATTTTGGAAAAGATAGACGCCTAGAGCTCTGAGTGATGAATCAGGAACAATAACGGTAGATGAGTTGAACGGTTTGGTACAATGACAATTGAAAACAATACCCTTGAACGAAATACGAGCCGGAAAGGCACAGGTTTCACAACTTCGGGAACAGAAGAATGTTTTCGTTTGCAACCGAAGACCACTTGGTGATCGTGGTGTGTGGGAGACGCATAATTGTGTACTGAACCGCATGCAACATTAAAACTCGAGGGATTTTTTATCGATGTGAGTAACGGGAAAAAGTCAGTTTAGATTAGCTCGCCTTTGTAATTAGTATTGGCCTAATTTACAGAAAGGAAAATGAGACTTCAAAAAGCGAGCAAATAATAGCATTACTTCACTGTCTGTTATTTGGTAGGTTGAATTAGTGTTTTGAATTGTGAAAAAGTTCTCGTAGATCAGCTGGTAGAGCGTGCACTGTACAAAGATATAGGTGGCGTCCATGAATTGGTTCAAATCCCACCGAGACTACCGAAATTTTCACAGTTCATAACAATAGTGATTCTATAGGGGAAACGAATTAGGTTTTCGACGAGCAGTCCAACCGAACTCCCTGCAATACCTGGAGTTTATGATTCGCATACGTATATTCATACACTGAAGTTGCTCATTCTGCGAGGAGGCGTATGAAAAAAATCCCTGAAAAAAGCTGTTTTCCATCGCAGTACACCATAGATTCTAATTCGTTTCGGGAAATATGCTGAATACGGTTTTGCGGTACCGGAATAATGATGTAGTCCCTGTGTAGACCACACAGCTTTCGGAAAGAAAACATTTTCACCATTCCTACCCAAAAGTTATATCATTGTGCAAGAATTTCAGCTATTAATAACCACGAATGGAAGTCATCGTTGACTAGCGAGTGAAATAATATAGACAGGGATATTATACACAAGATTGTAAATAGTATGCCGATTGGGATATGTTCGCACGGGACTTTTAGGATCTAATAGCTGACGCATTTGACACTACTCTGTTTCAAATTGAACGCGGTTCTCTGAGGTAAAATATTTTTGTCATTTTGAGAATTGAGCTTTTCAATCTACTATTATTTCGATAGAAAGTAAAGATCAAAGATTTATTATGGGGATAACTTACAAGCTCATACTTTTCTTATCCGATAGGTTCGTTTTGTGGTTAAAAGACAGTGATGCATACAATTCCTTGTTTAAAATGTCACATGATACGGGATTCTTCCACTGCTGCACACACCACTTATGTTGAATGTAAGACGTGCTAATGTTTCATCGAGTCTCAGTTTGAAAGGTTCAATGCTTGATGCAGAGACGACATATGGCGAGAGAGAAGTCCGATCGAACACTGACCGAGAATGACCCACACCCGTATTCCAATTGGCATTTTGAGACCACTGGTTTGAATAGATGTCCTCTAAGATGAACGTGATAATTTCAGAAGCGAGCGGACGGATGGCTTGGGTTTTGCATCATTTGGTATACCATATCATATCATATCTACTCTGATGCGCCGGTAGTGGTTAGAATATAACCCTAGCGACTTCAATCTCTTTGCGTATGAATAAGAATTCAACCCCGTGACCATTTTGGTGACCATCCTTTGTGGACGCTCTAGCATTTTGCAATTACTTTGTAGCCATGGCCTCCATACCTGAATAGGGTACTCTGTGAGTGGGCGAATGTATGCTGATAGTAGACGGGGGAATGAGCTGACTCAAACCGACGAAAGATTCCATTAAGCAAACCGACATTCTTTACGGCTGCGTTCAACACCTTGACGCAGTTGAGTGAGCAGCTTAAGTTTTCTTGAATGACGAGGCTCAGGTCCTTCTCACATGCGTCGTGTGGCAGTTGCTCATTTCCGAGGAAATACGAAAGTTGCCCCTGTGTCATAAAGATAGAACCTTACACTTTGGCACATTGAATTCAATGTCTTTCATAAGGGACCACAGATGAGCTGCTTTCAGCGTTTCCTGGAGTGCCAGTGAGTCCGCTGGTTGAGTCCATGTATTCCAACTTTTTGCCTCATCTGCAAACAGTAATGATTTTGGCTCAAGAGCCTTCGGCAGATCGTTTATGAATATTAGGAAAAGTCTTGGGCCAAGCACAGATCCCTGTAGAACTTCACGGGTAACGCCAATAGGACTGGAAAGCGAATCAAAAACGCGAACCGTTACGGTCCGATGTCGGAGAAATGCTTGAATAAAATTTTGTATTCTAGTCTCCATTTCATATTGTTTAGGTCTTGATTTCCAGGGACCTGTAACTTCATAATGCATGTGTGAGCGAATGTAATCAGAAGAAAATCTAAGGAGATGCAATACTTGCATCACAGGCGTGTACTGCAGTTTTGTCCCGGTTCTATATTGTCGAACTCCGAAATTTATATAAAATACTCTTCACTTGACAAGGATGTCATATTGGGATTAAATTTGTCGATAATGCCATTTTCAATGCATTTCTCTCCGTTCTTTTTGCAGAATGAACCTGGGTCAATGATAAACTCCGCAGAAGGTGCCCCAGAAACTTCGGATTACGGTAACCGACAGGCAAATAGTAGTGTACAGACCATTCAAACACCACCCTTTTGGACATCAAGCTGCTCAACAAGTGGTGAACTGCTCACGTCCGGACAGTCGAGTCGAGAGATCTCCCGCGGTTGGCGAAAATCACCATCGTCAAGCAATCAGCCGAACTCACGAGCTCCCTACTGGTCTGGACACGTGGGGAGTACGAAAATTGTCCTTGGTCCATCCGGTACACCAAGTGAGGACGTCAGCTTAGCGGATTTGAATGAGGCCGAAGTTACCCCGAAGCTGATCTATCGTTGTGAGTCCAGTTCGCTTGGATCACATTTAAAGATTTGCCGCTCTGTGAATGCATCCACGATGGACGAGACTCGAATCCCAATTGTGAGTCGTTCATCCAACAAACCGGAAGCTTTGTTCAAAGTGACTGTCATGCCCAAATGTCGCGGTTCACAATCCTCTGACCTCAGAATGGGAGATGGTGTGGGAATTGCAGCATTCGGAACAACCCCAGCACAATCGGACACGAGGAGGACCTCCGGACCTCCATCTGCATCGGTAGCACCGCCACTACCACCAACACCATCAGGAGCAGCGACAACAGGACAGATATACTGTGACTGTGCTCTCCAATCGAACGACTTAGTCTATCGTTCACAACCACGAACTCCGCATCGCCAGATGGGTTCATACACACCCGTTGCAAACGCATTTCCACTTTCCATATCCGACCACAGAAAAGATGAAGCTGTTCCTGAACTAGATGATTCTGAGGACACGGCTACACAGAACTACAGTGAAGAGACCGAATCTGGGACGTACAGTGACGAGCGATTACCTAGTGAGTACCAGCGACAATGATACTATGCATTATGTTTTGCATTCTTGCATCACTGTTGAAGTGAATCGTTAATCAATAAACAGATTCCGATGTTAGAGTATAACGATGGAATAATCCATGCAAGAGAACAAAGGATAATTTGAAGCATCAACCATAAGGTGTATTTATGTGATCGACTTTCCCTGATCGTAGAACAAGCTCATCCGGGAAAATCCTCACCGGAGAAATAGATTGAAATCTCAGAAACATTTGGAAATGATTAGGCAAAATTCAATGCTGAATCAATTCTTCAATTTCCTTATGCATGAGGTGTTTGTAACTGGCGATTCTTCGCCCCGTGAACCTGATTTAAGTTAGATCTGTTAGATCTGCGTGTAGCGGATGTGTGGAGTCGATGAGAATCTTACGTGCAAACTGTTCACATGCATTTAAATGACGTTCGCATAGGTCGGTTAAAAAACTTTTTCAGCAGGATTGTAGAGACACGGCTAAAGATGGTCAAGTCGAAGCAGTTTAAACTCTTTCTTTAGGAGATTGGAAAAAATAAAAAGTGGACAATAAAGTAAAACCGGGAAAACACACTGGTACACAAATTTGGAAACAATTGATTGTTGAATACGAAACTGACGAAGTTTACGAATATGGAAAGAAAGTCGCCGAAGCTTACTGACGATATGTTGAATGTGAAAGGTTCAGTGAATTTTAGTATCAATAAAAACACTCAGATATTTAATACAGTTTATCCGGAATACTGGTTCAGAGCCAATCGATACCGGTTCATTTAGGAAAGAACTGCGTGATAATGTAAACAGATATTCGAAACATTTAGAGGGATTAAGAGATAGGCCAGATGTGGCGGAAAACCGTTGAATGTTATCCAAGTTGTCAGAAAATTGTGAAAGCCCAGAAGAGTCGGAGATGGCCTGACACAGAACCACATTGTCAGTTTATTTGAAGAGAGAAGTAGGGGCGCAAGCAGACAAGTCACTAATATACGTAGAGAATAAGTATAGGGAAAGAACTGCACCTTGGAGTACTCCAGAGCTGTTCAACAACGGTTTGGATTTCTTTCGACCTAAACTGGTACACTGAGTTCTCCCGGAAAAGTAATTGGCAAGCCAAGCTAATAACTGTCCAGGACAAACAAAGGTCTCTAATTTATGAAGAAGAAGGGAACGAGTAATAGAATCAAGAGCAGATGAGTAGTCCAGAAACACACAACGGACAGAGTTAGCGGATTTATTCAAGGATTTGGTAATTTTATGTAAAAGAGAGGAAACTGCATCCAGCGTGCCTCTGTTTGGTTTATAAGCAAACTGGAAAGGATCATATGGGACATCAATGGAGGACTGAATGCGCTTAAGAACAACACGTTCTGCTAGCTTCTGCTAGTTCAACGGAGGTTAAAGCAATAGGACGAAAACGTTTGGTTAGAACGTTTGAATTAGAGGATTTGGGAATGGGAACAATTGTTACTGGTTGCCAACAGTCTGGTATAGAGCAGGTTTTTAAGGAATTGTTCAAAAATGATGTAAATATTTCACTGAGAGAATAGACCTCATATCTCAGAAGGGAAGATGAAAGACCATCGAGACCAACGCGGCACGTAGTTTTCACGGTACGCAGAAGCTCAAAAATTTCCTCATTCGAAATGGCCTCTACTTGAACGGCATCATCCAAAACAAATGGTGTGATGGCATCGCTTGATGGGTGGATAAATGCGGTATTAACACTGTCCAAATCTGTTGTACATTCCGACGTTTTGGATTCGATCCCACACAGCAATTTGACACCTTGTCAAATTCGCTTACTGTTGTTACATTGCGGAAGCTGGGAGGCGTACGACACCGAGAGGCGTTTTACTTTAGCTTTGATCAAGTTGGTGTAATACTTGACAGCCACTCTGTCTCTAGATTTGTACGATCGTTCCCTCTGACTTTTGAATGACTTCAACAGTGGGGATGCTATTCTGCCGTCACAAACAAATAGAGTTTCAAAAGGGCAGCATAAGTTAAACGTGTGGTTAAGTGTTTCACTGAATCAGTTGACTGCATTTTGCTGTCTATTACAGATTAAGTTCAGGGCCACCAATCTCACAGAGGGGATTTCAAAAGTGCCCGACAGTCCCTGTAACCAGATCCTCTATGGAATCAAAGAAAGATTAAGGACAGAGAAAAGAATCATGACAAAAAGACTTTCTTTTTTAAACACCACTTGAAAAAAGTCAACTCAAGTTTGCCTTAGAACATTGGATACGAAGACGCGGTCAGACACACTCAAACTCAGCACCCATTGTCGATTGAGGATGATCGTTAATTTCAGAGATACTTGGAAAATGAGTAATGAGGGATACTGAATCAAATTCTATTTGTTTGCTTCACGCTCCGGTGGTAGACAGTCTGGCTGTCATCCGGTTTAATACCACATCTAACCCAGCGGGGCCTTATGTGGTTCGCCACTCCAAGTCTCGGGGCTTAGGTTTCCGGGTTCCAACAGTGAACAGCGGGTACTTCTGGCATGGGGTTCGCTCCGTCTTCTGTTCATCACACCAAAGTGTGTAATAAAATAAAAACCACAATCATAGATTACACTGACAGGGCTGGTGGATGAAATGCTATGTACACATTAAATCACAACAGCTCAAACCGATTGAAGAGTATGAAAACAGAAATACTGTTGAGAATACCACATGGTCAACTGTTTATATATATATATATATATATATATATATAGAGAGAGAGAGAGAGCAACATCAAACGTTCAATAGACCGATCACCGTTATCTTTTTGAGCACACATGCTGCGTTTAGCTCAGTTGACAGAGCAGCTCTCCGGATTTGTCTGTTAGGAAGCGGTGACTGAGAAGTACGTAAACCTTCTCAAAGCCGTCTAATCAAAAACATCATTTACCATCACAAGCGTGTTCGGAAAAGGGTGCCCGGCTTTACCCTGCCTCTTTAATTTCACAGTAGACAAAATCCTAGGTAGCGCTCTAGAAAACTGTAGAGCTTCTGGTGTGGGGCTTCTCCCAGGTGATCAACTCTGTGACTTGGAATATCCTGACGACATTGTCATACGCTGCGACTCCTCCCAAGACGCTCAAAACATCTTGTGTAAGTTAGCATTGTATGTCACGTAGTTTGGTATGATCTTTTCCCCATCGAAATGAAAGGTCCTACTACAAGACCGCAAGAGGCTACACCTGCTCACACGCTCATGAGCGACTAGATATCTATCAATTCACTTATCTCGGGAGTTGTTTCAGTTCAAGATGACCAACAGAAGAAATAGCAGCTCGTATCCGCAGGGACAGGATGGCTTTCGCTAATCTGCGTCACCTGTGGTGCCGACGTGATCTTGGTCTCTCCTTGAAAGGTCGCGTTTACAGTGCTTAATACACTCTGTCTTACTCTACGGCCGTGAGAGCTGGCTCTTCCACGCAGAAGACGTACGGAGAATAAGTATATCTGACCACCGTTGCCTCCGTTGCGTCGTCAGAATACGTTACCAACGACGAGGTTCGCCGAAGAACCTTCACCTCAGACAATCTCCGTCATCCTGTGAGTGCCATCATCTCACTCCAGAGAATTCAGAGTCTGGGACATGTGTTGCGGATGCCGACTCAATGACTGCCCCATCGTGTTATGTTTGCGCAAGCCGACACTAACCGGAGGCGGCGACAAAGTGGACAGCGAATAACCCAAACTTGAACGACGAAGGTAATAACCTCAAAACTGGCGGTGATAGGACGCTCCAGGCACCCAGTTTGGGGTGCGAACATCTATGACTTGAAACACTAGCAGATATGGCTGGTAACCGGCGTCAATGGCGCATCTATTATGAAACTCATATTTGTTGACTTATACTTAAATGTCTTTCACATCTCTTTCTTCCTATGTGACACATTTACCAATTCTAAGTGATCGGTTGTGCTATATATCTACATATATTCGACATCCGTGAGACAGTGGTAGTCGAACACTGACAGCCTACCTTGATCCTGCTTCCTTAACTTTCCCCATTTGTGTGTTGCATGGCAGCCCTTTGATTGGCCGCTTCCCCCTTCCTGAAAACTGTAACATTGTGTATCCAATAAAAGGAGGTAAAAATGAAAATATATATATAGCTGGATTAGCGATCGTGCGTGCGTTCCCGCAACTTTATCAACAATTCGGCTGTCACATGAGAAGTAGCTGGTGAAGAAAATTTCAGCTACGCTCTTTTTTGTCCGCTTTATGGAACAACAGCCGTAACTGGACCAACCCAATCGTATAACATTTCACACTTTGAAAATGAAAAACGTGCACCGCACTAATCTCCAAACCATTCAGAAAAGCTTACAAACTTCCTGAATCTTCACTCGACAGTGCGATATCGTATACTTTAATCTACTTTTGAGCGACTAACTCCGATGAGAGGGTAATTGGGCTTCTGGAACGCTTCTGGTGATGAGAGTCCACGCGTGGAGAACGACGGCAAGGTTGGTGCAGTTTGAAACCTTATTCTAGTACCATTCGAGTACCATATAAGGATTGAAGGCCCATTTGGTCCATATACGCATCGATCGTATTACTCCAGGTCTTCAAATGGCCCCCGACTCGGTAATGGAAAGATGCAGAGGATAGAGTTTGACGCGAGATTTGAGTCTCATGCCTTCAGCGCATGTGGCTAAATCACTGAAGATGCCGAGGTTGTAGCATTTGAGAAAGCTTACCTATGTTCGTGCAGTGCCGAAATACCTCATCATTGAAAACTTGTTCTCTGCAATTTACTTTCGAGATGCGCAAATGGTCAAAGATCTCTAGCCTCTTCGCATCTTATGATTTTAGGAGCCATAATGCAAAAACTATCAGCGAGGATGGGGCGGATGGAAGCCCGTCAAAGGTGAAGTTTGGGGTATTTGCTCATTTCTCAGCAGTTCCAGAACGAACAGGGGGTGTTGCAGGAAGGCTATCCTGGATTCGTATGCAGGAAGATGGGTTTCATCTTTGACCTGATTGTGGAGCCAATATACTTTAAAA